ATCTCAAGTCTTCTTATTTGGCTTTATTGAAACTTGGGAAATAAAAGGTGCCATACACTACAAATTGGTCATCTGCTATGATACCAATGAAAGAAAAAGAGGGCAGAGCATGGGATAGTACAGTCCATGTGTTATGCACTGGACAGAGAAGTGCCCATCTCTCCCCAAAGACACTTCTATCTAGTTCTTGTTAGAAAACTCCCACGTCCCCAAAAATATTTTTATTCAGGTGGAAAAGCCTGCCCGTTCCTTGGCTGTTGAGAGCTCCACAGGATTTTCCGAAGAAAACGTTACTGCGAAGGAGGCTGGAATTGTGAATCTGTTTCTGCCGAACGTCTGTGGAGCGCCGCCATCGGCTGCAAACAGGAACCTGAAGTCTCTTTCCTTCAGGCTCGCTCTAGCAACCCGGCCTCTATGTCAGCATTCTATTTGTAAATACTTTAATAAAGTAGATCTGCATAATCTAACTTCCGGTGCCAAATCGAAAGAGGCCACTGGCCATAATTGGTCAGAAAGCGATTTGGCCGTTAAAACGATAGCGTCCGTTTAACATTGGAGACACTTGTAAGGATCATAATGAGATCACAGGCGAAGTAATTCCCACCCCACTCCTCCGTATGGTGGAAATACAGACATACAAGGGATTGTTGTCCTATATGAATACAGTTGCTTCATTTTATTTCACTGCAGAAACCACAGAGATAGGAAAAACATATTACTGTATCATTCTTCCTAGCTCACTTCCAGTTCCACCTTAGGTACTGCCCTTTGTGGGTCAAGAGCGCAACAGAAAAACAGTTTGTGCCAAATCTGTTGGTTTTCTAGCGGTTGAGAGAAAAAAATGCAGAAGTTCAGGGCGTTAACTAAAACGAATGACTTTTACTCCATACCCTGTGCTGCAAAAGCCATGACTTGGTATTTATGCTCTGTGCAACTCCAATCTGATGTATGCGTGTGATGAGAACGGAGACGCTCAGATCCATTGTTGTTCTATTCAGATATAGTCGAACGCTGCTTTTGAATTGGCAATTCTATCAGTCATTTCTCTGAAAGCACCTTAAGTCAAACTGTATCTAAGAAAGGAAACGGGAACAATGAATGGAAGGAAATAAAGGAGGGTCCTAAACGAAAAATGATAGCGAGAAGGACCACCTTTCCGGAGCAAGAGGAAAATAGGGAAATTCCGCAGTCTGCTTAGGAAGGAGCAAAGTACCCCCACCTCCCCGCCAGCAGAGCCTCGCACGCTTGCAATTCCTCTAAACCCCAGGAAGCAGGACTATTAGCCGTGCTCGCTAGATATCATGGGAGCTGTAGTCCAACGCGCTTGTAGCACGGCTACTTCCTTTAGATCGCTCACCCCAAGCGGCGCCTCCCATGAAGCTTCCTCTCCCCCGGCTTTAATAGCCACGTTGGAAACTGCGACACGACCACGCCCGCGGCCCCGACGGAGCAACTTCCGCCTTCGTCCTCCCTCCCCCTTCTCGATTTAGAAAAGTTGCTCGCGATTGGGCGGAGGGAGCGTTCGGGCCACACCCAGCTAAGTGGGCGGGATTGCGGAGTGTGTCCTATTTCTGCGTGTGGCCGAGCGGTCAGCTGCGGGCGCTGATTTTGGGGCTTGGTTGGTATGTATGGGGTCCCTCCCGCCGAGCGGAGGAATAGGCCAGTAAGGCTGGTCATTTGGGAAGAAAGCAAAATTCTGTTAAAAAGAAGGCGCTCCCGCCCCCCTCTTTTTCTTTTGCAAGGCGCGTTGGCCCCTATATTTCGGAAGAATGGGGGGAGCCTTGGCGAGGCACCCCTGTTTTAAACCGCACATTTCTGTGGCGTCTTCCCGTAACACTCCTGAACGTAATTCGGTTTCACCTGTAATTTGCTTTCTCCACCTCCTTCCTTCGTCATAGAAGCAGGCTACCTTTTTTTTCTTTTTCCCGGGTGTAAATTCGAGGAGGGGGAAAGAACATTGCAAGGGGCCAGTAATATTGAGGAGGCTGCGTGAACGAGGATGGGCTTGTCTGCGAGAGGGAAGTGCAGTGGGGAGGCCTTGTGGAGTCTGAGCGTGTGCGTGCATGGGCGTATTTGCGAGGGAGTGTGTAACAGGCATAGGCCTGTTCTGCAGTGTTACAATCTCCTCCGTGCTCCAAAGAAATTCCAGAAGGTGGTGGTCTGACTTGTTCTCCTGGGTGTCAGCCGTGGAGCTCTTAGGAAAACGAACCCATCGTTGATATAATATAAAGCCTTAGCAAGGAAGTTGAATGAAATAGGTGCTTTCTTCATGTGCAATTCCTAATGTTTGCATATAGCTTTCCTCACTCTGTTGGGAAAGTCTGAGGTAGCACATAACTTTTAAGAGTTTGCTTCCTACTCTGGAGATGTGAGAGGAGGCTTTTATCTTGTCATCCTCTGTCTATGTTCTTTGAAATAGTATTTCTATGAAATTGATGAGAAATTTTGATGTTTTCCTTAAGAAAACAGGTGGGCAGCAGAGAAAGAACAGCATGCCTCTCAGCCTGGAGTGTATGCTGATTTAAATTTCTCTCCCCCCCCTTTTTTTTTTTGCACCAGATGTTTGAGTAAATGGAATTGTGCAGGTGTTGCAATGCTTCACCTGTCCCTGGCATTTATGCACTTTGTAATCTCCCTTTCTGCTTGCTCAGTTTGCAAAACTATCTTGGCAGGAATGCATAACTTAACACATGAAGGGATTTTGTAGGTTTTATGTACATGCTCTTTTAAGAGCTGCAGTCCAAAGGGGATAGGGTTTGGGGGATCTAAGGGGTGAAAATTTAGCCCCTTTATCCATTTTGCCCCTAAGCCTTGTCAAAACTCAAAAAAACCCAAACTCCTTGGTCTCACTTACTTGGGGTGCTGGGAGGACCAGAAAATAGATGCTGGGGAGCATGTTGCATTCATGCTCTATAGTAATTGTAGGAGAGTTGCCATTCAGCTGAGTTCCACAACCTAGCTTTTGAAACATTATTTAAATATATTTGTGTTTCCTTTCAGTCTTGGAAGTCCATATAAGATGCCTTGTTAATAAATTAATCCAGAGCAGCCATATAATCTTTCATTTCAAAGCAAGCTATCAAATGAATAAAAGAAATATCATTAGCTCAGTGTTTCTCAACCTCAGCAACTTTAAGACTTCAACTCCCAGAATTCTCCCAGCCTGCATTAGCCTGTACGAAAATGGCAAACAAAGTATATTCTTTTTGCAAAGTTGTTACGTTTTTGTAGATAGATTTCTCTTGATGAGGCCAGTAAGAAAGGGGCCTTAGATGGGTGATGAGCATTTCTGCTAGATCCACAAGTAGGAAAAAAAAAATTAGCCCACAGAATAATGTTGTGCGACAAATGTATGATTCTGCATTGAACTCTTTGCAATGTAGTTTTGTCAGTGAGACCCTTCCTTCCTTCCTTCCTTCCTTCCTTCCTTCCTTCCTTCCTTCCTTCCTTCCTATATTTTGTTTCAATATTCATGATTATTGGTTATTCGTATTCCTAAGGTGCTCAGCTCATTGAAGACAATCTAACACAGGGTTTCTCAACCTTGGCAACTTTAAGACGTGTGGACTTCAACTCCCAGAATTCCCCAGCCAGGGAATTCTGGGAGTTAAAGTCCACACGTCTTAAAGTTGCCATGGTTGAGAAACCCTGATCTTACACAATAAGCACAAACAGAAGATAGTTATCCTGGGGCTCAAATGTACAAACATTCTGCAGATAGTTTCCTTGGCATCTATCAAACTTCCTATCTTGTTTACATTTAAAAAGAAAATTTAACCAGTTTGGACTCCAGGTTGTCTTCTGACTGTGGAAAAATTATCCTGGCCATCTGAGGAGCAACACCATTTTTGCTTTCCTGATTCTTGAAGGATAGCATCAGTTTTAAAGCACAAACCTTACATTCATCTGATATAGGGAAAGGGTAGGATTTACCAGGTTGTAGTGCAGAAACATCTTGGAGCCCTCAGTTAATACCTGTACCTCCTCCAGATCATTAAGATTTCTCACAAACTGGCTGGCTGTTGGTGGCAGAAAGCTGTGCCCTGATAAAGACTTTCTTCAGGAGGCAGTGAGTACAATTTTGCCTTGGATCAAAAGAAGTGGCTTCCCTTCCTCCTCCACAGCTTAGGTTCATTATGGCAGAAGATTGCCTTTTCCTGAGGGTTCGTTTTTGTTTGAGTTCATAACTTGTTCTGCATGCATTCTGCTACCCCTCTAGGGAGGGCATTGTACAAAGTTGCCATTTGGTATTATTTTAACTCTTAGTGGTTATTTTAAACCTACAGCAGAAAGGCAGAGGGATTACTGTAATTCAGGGACCGGAAACTAGTTCTCCTGTGTTGCTGAGCTATATTTCCCAGGTTTCCTTTCCATTGCTGGTGCTAATGGGCTGCTGGGAGTTGTAGTTTAGCAGCATCTGGGAGCTTTTTTAACCCCTTAATTTCATCATCAGAAATTAATGTATCTGGGGTGTGCAACCATTGAAGCTGTGGAACACTGCATCTTGTCTGAATTTACCTGGGTAGGAAATGGGCAGGTTGGCCACTGGTGATTTATAGACAGAACCTGGTCTGCTAACAGATTGATCTTCACGTGGGTGCCTGGAGAGCTTGCCTGCTGAAGAGGAAAAGAGCAGTGGTGGGGGGTGGCCTTACCAGAAGCAGTGTTTGCAGCTTCTGCCCTTGATCTGAGGGGGATGTCTGAGCAGTCATCAGACTTTCTGTTTGTAACCGCATCCCTCTCTGTGGGAACTAACATGATGTAGCAATCTGTCACAGATGATTTTAGACCCTTTTTTTCATTTCCTTCTCACCCCCACATGCTTGCTGTGGAAAATTTGGAGGATTTGTACCCCATTTCTGGCTGAAAAGGGGGCTTCTGCTCTACTTTGTATGATGTAATAAAACACCCTTCTTTCCTTAGCTCTGACCTGGCTGCTAAACATGTGGAAATGAGATGATACTGTAGAGCTTGTCCTAAGGAGTTGTCAGAATACCTTGAGACTGTTATACTGTGGTGCATAAGCCTAGCTGGCCCTCCCCTCCCCTCCCCCATAGGTTTCACCCTCACATAGGTTTGTCTGTATTTAAAACATCTCCCTCTTTCATTGACTGCTGGCACTGGTTTTCAGTTGAGCCGTTTGATTACTGGATGACACTTTGTATTGTACATTTTGTATTCTAATAGCCTTTCCCCCCTCCTTTCAGCCAAAAGTTCTGTCTAGCTGTGAATCTCAGCTTTCGTTGGAGCTGTTTCCTTCCCATACTCCCAGGATGAGTCTCCAGTGGGCAGCCGTGGCCACTTTCCTCTATGCTGAAGTCCTCCTTGTATTTCTCCTCTGCATACCCTTTATCTCTGCAACAAGGTGAGGAGCTATGAGAGTGATTGTGGGATGGTGGTGGTCCCCGACTTGGAAATATTTGTGGCTTAGGCTGCTGAGAAATGCAAAAGCCACAGAATATAGGTCAAGGCTTGGCTTCCAGAGGGAGTGATACCGAAGAAGAAACCTGGAGGACGAGTGAGAGTAATTAATACCTGTAAGCAGACAGGAGAATATATTTTTGACTATTGCCAAGAATTTGAAAGAGGCTAGGATAATCAGCCTGTATACGCTTGTGGGTTAAAGGTAAAGAGTTGCTCAATTTGTTATTAATTAATTACTTAGGTTTTAAGACTACCTGACTCAGAAAAGACTCTGGGTGGCTTACAGGTTTAAAAGAATACATAGTGCAGGTAGTCCTTGCTTACCAACTACTCATTTAGCCACCATTCGAAGTTACAACGGTGCTGAAAAAAGAGATTTAAGACTGGTCCTCAAAGTTGCAGCTGTTGCAGCGTCCTTGTGGTCATGTGATCACATTTGGGTATTTGGCATCCAGCGCACATTTATGGTGGTCACAGCGTTCTGTGGTCACATGATTGCCATTTGCAACCTTCACGGCTGGCTTCCAACAAGTCAGTGGGGAAGCCAGCAGGAGGTTGCAAATGGTGACTATGTGATGTCAAACTTAACGACTGCAGCTGGAACTGACAAACTGACATAAGTTAGGTGCAGTCATGTGATGTTTCACTTTATGACTGGGGCCCCTTAGTGACAGAGTTGCTGGTCCCAGTTGCAGCTGATAAGCGAGGACTATCTGTATTAAAAAAAGAAAACATGAACTCCTAGACAGAATTACACTAATAACCAGAATTATTTCCCTGCTTTTGTTGCTGAGCCATTTACTAAGTGGCTGAGCCTGGGGGATGGTCAAAAATAGTTGCCCCAACATGGATGTGGGACAGGGGTTTTAAAGGTCATTATTGGTGCTGCATATGCTTATGTGTGTCTCAGGAGCTGAAAATGCTGCTGGCCCGAACAATGTTGTTCACAAATGATGTAACTGTAAATATTGCCATTGGGTTACATCTGATGGATGATATTCATCTCTTAACACAGGGTACATTAAAATTCATCTATCAGTTGGTTCAAAGTCAATATCCCCTCTTCCACTCCAATTTTTCAATATCACCATCTTCTTCCCAATTTTTAAAGTTGGCTTTCCCCATAAATTCAATTTGACATGGGAAGAAAGGTCAAATCTTTCTTTTAATTAGACATTACGTTCCATAGCTTTCTAACTGATGAAATTTTTCCAGGGATAATAGATTTTCTGTAAAGATATTCTCGGAATTGGGGAGCTCCATAGAAATTTTCTAAACAAAGAATTTATTTTCTGAAAATATTTTCCAGATATATTTCCTCTCAGAATATAAATTAATCTGGGAATAATATTCATTTTGAGAGCGTTCATCTTTCCCCAAAGGGTGAGGTTTAATGACTCCCGTCTATTGATATCTGAAGAAACCCCTCTCTATATTTTATTTCTATTACATGTTGCTGAGTTATATCCTTTGGTACACACACACCTAAATATTTAATAGATTTGGTACAAATATGGAATTGATATTCCTTAAATGAATGGGTAACCAAATTTTCACCTATTGACATCAATTCCCATTTGAACCAGTTAATAGGGTATCCTGCTATTTTGCTAAAGGTATTTATCCTTTGCATCAACACTGGGATAGTAGAAATAAAGAAAGGAATGTCATCTGCAAATAAAACCAATTTGTGTTCAACTGAGTTGTGTACTACTCTGCAGATTTCCCTTTGTCTTCTAATAGCACAAGCCAAGGGTTTCATGCAAGTATTAAAAAGCAAGGGTGAAAGTGAACATCCTTGACTAGTTCCTTTAAATAGTGGAAAAGTAGGAGAAAATATACCATTAACCTTTACTTTAGATGTGGGCGACTCATAATATCTTAATCCATTTTATAAATTCCAAAGGAAATACAAATCTATTTAATATGGCAAACA